ATATAACTGAAGCTTTAAGCCAACATATCACTTTGGGTCAGGGAACACTAAGCACTTTTTTTGTGTGGCTACTCTGCTGAACCAATGCAGAGAAAAGGCTGTTGAGCCTTAGGGAAGCTAAGAGACCTTAGTGACCAGGTCTCAGGCTCGAGTTCTCACCGATCTCCCCTGTAAGGTCAGCTGTGGTCAGAATCGTGGAATCAGTGAGCAACAGGTGGCTCTCTGTTCTTGAGACCACCCATGTGATCCAGTCTGCTGATGGACTCTGTGGAGTATGAAATGCAGCTTCAGCTTCTACAAGAGTCTACCAACGACCAGCTATTGGCAGTGACAGGACAATTCAGATCATTATCTCGCCCTGGATTGGGTCCTTCTACCCACCACCCTCTCACCTTTATTTTAAGTCCCCTGTGCCCCTTGGAAATATTTTTCTCTCTGGTTCCTTGCTGAGGTTACTTCCACTGTCTTGTTTTGTCATTAGGTAGAACAACGTATGGAGATACTCCTGGCACAGGAACGGACTTGGAACTGGGCCAGCTCAGCATATCAGACGGCAAGTGTCTGCTCCCTGCACATTCAAGTGATCCAAGGGTCAGCAACGCATCTTCCTCCCTATAGAACTTAGCAAGTGTTAGTGCCTAGCAGCTCCATCTTCTGCCTGTTATTCTAAAGGTGGAGCCTGCAGCATTATCTCCAGCAAGAAGACAGGCTTGTAGCCATTTGTAACAGGCATGAAAACAGACATAGAGCAGGCCATGCAGGTATACAAGGATTCCTTCCAGTCCTTTCCTCCTAAATCTAGAAAGGACTTGATGGATCTTTATAACTCTCCTCAGAAACTGGTAGCAGGCGAGGGGGCAAAGGGAAGAGAAAAAAGTACAGAATCCCACTTGAGGTTCTGTCGACTTTAGAGCTTGCTTTATTTGAATTCCCTATAAACTTAGAGTTTGATTATAGTATGCAAATCAACTTAGGTTATTTCACGTTAGACTTTCCAAAGCTGAAAATGGTCTTAATCTTCATCTCAGTTATATACTACTACCAAGTTCCAGCCATGAGCCCAAAGCATCTTCTGCTCCCTAAATTGTGGGTTTATATTTTTAGTTGGTTTCAGGTTGTAACCATAAACTTATTACTAACTTCCAATCAACATCATCCCTATGTGTCTAAGTTAAACTCTTTTTTTTTTTTTAAGTAAACTCTAAGCCCATTTTTTTTAAGTAAGCTCTATGGGCTCAAACTCATGACCCTGAGATCAAGAATCACATGCTCTTCCCACTGAGCCAGCCAGGTGCCTCTAAGTTAAACACACTTTTGAAGTTACTTCAGAAGATACAACTAATTATGGAGTGCCTGGGCGTCTCAGTCAGTTAAGCGTCCAACTCTTGATTTCAACTGAGGGTTTGATCTCAGGGTTGTGAGGAATGGGACATTCTATCTAGAAGTATTCAAAAGATACCCCCAATATGGCCCAAATAGTTTCTGTGGTATACAACAAAAAGGAAAAGTTAATCACATCAACAGGAAAAAAAATACTAAGAATAAGTATTATCAGGCAATTTGTACAAGGAGAAATATAAATAATTGATATGAAAATGAAAAAGGGAATCCTAATAGAAGAACACAAAAAAAATGTCAATTTTTTTTGGCGTAGAAGAACACACAAAAAAAAATTGACATTTTTTTTTAAAAGTGAACTTTCCTTTTTCACTCATCACATTGTCACATCACAACATTTAAAAATGAATGATACCCCCTGGTGGCAAGGGGACACAAAAATGAGCCAGCACTGCAAGCATTAAGCTAAAGTGGTTCAGGTTTTCTGGAGAGCATTTGGCCACGGGTAACAAAAATCCCCAAAAGTACATGGTTAGGAACCAGGGCTCCAGGGCCAGCCGACCCAGGGCAGATCCCGGTTGTACTACTTGCCGGCGCCAGGACTTGAAGCAAGTTTCTATTGAGAACTGCTCTACGTCTCAGTGACTAGTTGTACAATGACTGTAAGAGTTGCACTTTTCACTGCTGTGAGGCTCAACCAGTGAATATTCATGAGCACCTTGGACCAGTGCCTGGCACATAACATGGCTTTCATTATTATGCAACCTCACTTCTAAGTATTTATCCTAAGGAAATCTTAATTAAGTGCACAAAGATGTATTTATGCATTTGTTTATCACTTCATGATTTAGCAAAGGCCAAAAGTGGAAATGGCTGGTTAAATAAATTTTTGCGATCTTTACCTTATAATACCTACGGGCCCATTAAATATAATTATGTTGATACATATGTACTGATGTGAGCACATTTATATTCTGTTTTCGAGAAGACAAATCAAGCTACAGAAGAATAAATATAGTGGAACCCTAGGAAGGAGACATATGTGTTTTTTTTAATCAGAGCATGTATAGCTAGATATTAATGGTGGTTGCCTCTGGATTTGGGGGTTACTCAAATTTATTTTTCTTTTTTGATTATATGTGTCTTCCAATTTTTCTACATCAATCTCATTGTTTGTATAATTTTTAAATAATTTAATATGTTACATATTGTGATGGTTAATCTCAGTCAATTTGAGCTAAGGGATGCTCAAATAGCTGGTAAAACATTCTTTGTGGATGTGTCTCTCAGGATGTCTCTGGAAGAGATGAGCGTTTGAATCAGTAGACTGAATGAAGAAGATCCATCCTCCCCAATGTGGGTGGGCATCAACCAATCCATCGGGGACCAGAATAGAACCAAAAGGCAGAAGAAGGATGAGTTAGCTCTCTCTCCTTGAGCTGAGACATTTATCTTCTCCTGCCCTCGGACATCGGAGCTTCTGGTTTGGGGGGCCTTTGGACACCAGGAGCTTTCCTTGTTCTCCAGCCTATAGATGGCAGATCCTGGGACTTCTCTGCCTCCATAACCATATCAGCTAATTCCTACCATAAATCCCCTCTTATCCCCATACCTATATCCTACTGCTTCTGTTTCTCTGGAGAAACCCTGATTAATACACATATGTTCCAAAGTTCTTATAAATTTTACCAAACATTCTAAAATGTATTTGAAAGTGGGGAGGGATAAGCAGCATAGAAATATAAAACTAATGTTAGTCTCCAAAGTAGACAGAAAAACACATTCAGAAACATGTAACTTCATAGTGAACATTCAGGTACAGAGTCATTCTCGTTGGTAATTATCACGTGTGTGTGTGTGTGTGCACATACAAACACATGTGCACACACATCTATTTCATTTGGGTTTCCCCGAGAGCAAAGCCTGAGGCAAGGATTTGGAAACAGGTTCATTTATTTCAGAGTTGCTCCCAAGAAGCGGAAGTGAGAGTGAAAAAAATGAAACAGCGGGGAGAAAAGCCAATAAAAGGCGCACTAATAGGGAGTAACTGCTTCAAGCAACTGGGATTCACTCCCACTGGGGACTCTCTGAGAAACTGTGGGATAAACCTCAGAACTGTCCCACCAATGCACAGGCAGGCTGGAGCAATTGCTCAACAACTCCCCTCCCACCTGGGTTGCGGGCTGCCCTGGTAGCGTTAGCTCCCCCGCACCTCGGGGTTGTACCTGCAAATAGACTGTGCAGCCTCCCACAGCATCAGAGACAACCCTGGGGCCAAAAAGCAGAGATCCCAGGGTGCACGTGTGATGTGGGGGGACCGGTATCCAACATGTGCTCAGGGCTGCAGGAGACCCGGATGGGGTGGGGGGGAGACCCACATGTGGTGCCACAGTCTTTTATAGCTCCCTTGCCCAAACCCAGCAAATAGGAAACCAGGACTTTGTTGGGAGAATCCTGGGAGGGGGATGAACCCACCACACTTCCCACTCACTGCTCCCTCCCCTTCTCACACACTCGCTGGGATCATCAATGCACAGGTCCTCAGCTGTTCAAAGGTGTGAGAAACACAAAGGGAATTTACCCCCCAGCCAGCCAGTGCTGCACCAGCCCCAAGTCCCACATCATGCTCTTCATAAGCTCTGCTCTGGCCTCACTGAGCAGCCTGGTACCACGGTCCCCCAAGCCTCTGCCCCCCCTCGCCCTACCCCCAGATACCCTTTGCCCTCTGAAGTGCCTTTCCTCCCTTGCTTCCCCTGGTTCCTCCCACCAGAACTTCTGGGCCCGGCAAGGTGTCAGGACCCAGAGGTCAAAAGAAGCCTGGATGGAGGGCTGGGGAAGGTAAGAGACCCCAGGTGGGGGGAGAGAGATGGAGCAAGACGGGGGGTTAGCTGAGCTCCTGATGGCTGAGGCTGGGTGTTGGGGACGTGCACTTACCACACTATTCCTGAAACCTGTGACCAGAGGGGACCCATCGCAGCAGCAGACTAGTAAGTACACTGGCAACTTCTTACCTGCCCTCTTTCAGTTTGCCTTTACATTTCCCTGACCCTCCTCCTGCGAAGGGGGCTTTGAGGCTTGCCCTCCTGTCTCCCTGGTTAAGCCCTGTCCTTGCTGCATCCTCGAAGTCTCAGTCATTGTCTTTGCTGCACAACGAACGGGCAGATGGACCTGGGTTCCTCTATGTGTGAAGCTTGAAGGCACAAGCCTGGGCCTCCTTTCAGGCAAGAAACTGCTGTTCAACTCTGATGAATGAAGTAGGCTGACCGGGTGGGGGCACCACAGCCGGGCCCTTTCTCCCCAGTGGGGGGACTCTGCGCTCCACAGCCCCCACTGGGCTGACAGAGATGTCAGCCCTGCCAGGCAATCTGGGGGCTCCCTCTCCATTTCCCAGGGGTGGGACCTGCACTGCTCTCTCAGGGCTCTCCCTGCCGATTCTGCTTCCTCTGCCTTCAGCCCAACAAACCTCTGGCACTAACTCCATCTTGGCAACTGCGCCCCAATGGACCTCACCTGACACAACAGAGGTGCACTCGCTTCACCCCACCGTGCCCCTGCTGACGCTCCAAAAATAATGAATACACACGAGTTATAACCATTGTGCTATATTTAAATATTCACATATAATAAATTAAGCTTTTCACATTAAAAAAAATACAGTGGTTGCATATATAACCTAACTTTGGAGATAATATCAAAAATTAAATTTGTGGTCCTTTGAGCACGAGGTCCCAGCCAGGTGGCTCTCCTTCCCTCCTGCCCCTGAGCAAGCACAACCAGACATCAGCTCTGAGACTCTCTCCAGGATCACCCCTGACTGCACTGGGTGGCCCATGCTATGCTCCCATAGCACCCTAATCTCTGTCACTAGATTACTACCCTGTACTTCTGCCCCCATCACCTCTGCCAGCACCCCAATTTGGCAGGGAGAGGCGGACCTGGTGGAGAACAAGCACTCAGTAAATGACTTTGGAGAATCACGGAATGACTGACTGAGGCATGTGTCCCCAAAAAGACACCAGGCAAGGTAAAGACTCGTCTACACACTGTTCCCACAGATTTACAAAATGCCAGTGAATAAAGATCAAGGGGCTCCTTCAGGCTGGAGTGAACATGGAGGTGGGAAAGGAAACTGTTCATTATAACCCTTTCTCAAGCCATGGGACCCAGGAGCACCCAGCCAGGCACCCCCGGCGCTCTGGAAGCAGGATCCCTCACAGGCGGAAGAAATTATATCCACCTTCTGCTCTGCTTCTCTGCAAAGGAGAAGATCTCTTGGTTACTGACGAAGACAAGAGGCCCAGCAGCCTCATCTGTTCGGGGAGTCCTGAGCTGGCCTCAGCCAGGCTCCGGGGCAGGATCACCAACCAGGGACCCTGGATCGGCCAGGGCTCCACGGACTGGCACCAAACTCCTCCGGCGGCTTTGAGCGAGACAGAGGCTTTGGTTTTTCTCTCTGGCCCAGGTCCGGGGGGAGATCTTCCAAGGAAGAGATCTCCAAGTCACTCTCATCATCAGAAAGCTGCAGGGAGGGAAGGGGGAGAAGAAGATACATTCTGACAAGATGTAGATCAGGGAGGATGAAAATGCAGGACAGACAGGGGGACGAAATGCAGGTTTGGAAGAAGCAGGAGGGACACACTCGTTCTCCTGTTTTTTCCCACGTCCCTGTCTTTGAAGACCTGATTCAGAGACCCGGGGTTAGAGTGATTTTAAATGCTCCTGAAATCCCAAAGGCCAAACCCAGGCAAGCTCTTTGAAAAGGCTTATGGCGAATCAGGTTGCTCTTGTAATTTAAACTTTGGCCAGATTTTTTATTTCCCCACGTTGATGGATCTGGAGTCAGCCATTAGGAACTGGAGTCAAAGGCCAGAGCGCTGACTTTTCTGCATTCCTGAACTGAAGGCAGCCCGGGCTAACGTACACCCCCACCCCCAGACAGCTTCTCCGGGGCCTGGTAAACACCCTGACTCGGGGAGTGGTAGAGGAGCTCCAGAGCACCAGGGACTCTCAGCCTGGAAAGTGGCTGGGCTGCAGCCAATGGGAGAGCCCAGAGCCAAGGGCCCAGGCAACCCCTACACCACAGTCCCCACTCCAGAGCTCTGTGCCCTCCTGGCACTGAGGGCCACCTGGGCTTTGATAGGAACATCCTATGCATTTTCTCCCAGAGTGTAAGGCCAAGCAGCCAGAACCACCCCAGGGCCCAGGGCAGCAGGCTCTGAGCAGTGCCTCAACCTGCTCTGGGATATTGGCGTGCTTTCCCAGTATAGGAGAAGGGACAAACACTTGTTTAATCATTTGGATTCACTACTCACAAACACACACAGGCTACATAAGAAACCGAACCCATTATGTAATAAGAGTATGTTCTCGTAAGAACCAAAAAGTGCCCGTTATTCCTGGTGATCCCACGAGGCGCCTTTTCAACTTAGAAAGGTGAGACGTGCATGTGACGTAACGAGAGCCCCAAACGTTTCTGCCTAAGCGAGGAACGGGCGTGTGGGAGTTGTTCCCTGACCCGAGGCAGTGAGGAGGGGGGTCCTACTGGGAATGGTCGCTGAGGCTGAGTGTCTGATGGCAGCAAGAGCCTGAGAGAGGCAAGGCCACCTAGACATTCTTAGCGATGAGGAATGCCCTGAATATTTAGAACAAAGGTATCTAAATATTCCCGTTATATGCTGTCGCCTCGTCTGATGTGCTGTGGGATGCCACTCCAACACCCCACCCTCAGGAAGAAGTCTTCTCTGCACACAGCCTGGAATTGGGGTCTGGAGTTGAGTGAAGGAAAGAGACGGGGCCCATGGTGGGATGAAGCAGAGCCAGAAGAGAGTAGCTACTGCAAGCAGCCAGGCACAGAACCAGGTCCAGGCTCCGTCAGAGGCGGGAAATGGGAGCGTGAGTGACCAGGAGAAAACGACCTGTTAAGCAGCTGCTTGTATAATGAACCAAAAGACTTTTTAACATCAACAAGGATACAAACAAGAAGTGGCCATCCCTCCCCCTGTGCAGGGGCAGAAGAGACAGTGAGGTCACCCACAGTGTCCCACTAGGGCCAAGGCTGACACTCCCTAGACCCCACCCCAGGGCCCCAACACCTGGAGTTGGCTCTACTGGAAATAGCAGAGCAAACTCCAAGAGTCCTACACCCTACCTGAGGCTTCTTTCCTGGCACGGCCGCCCTCTGGGGCCCAGCGCTGGGCATTAGGAACAGACTGACCCCTCCAGCAGGCTTCTTCACTGGAGTCTCTAGCTGCTTCTCAAGGTTTTTGACCAGTGACTGCACCAGTGTTCCTGGAAGGCAACCAGAGGGAAAAATTCCAGAGAATGAATGCCTCATCCTTGTAGGTCATGACCAGGCTCTGGTGTGGAGAGAGGGAGTGTGGAGAAGGGTCAGGAGGAAGAAGGAAGGGCAGCCACAAAGAAGAGGAGCAAGGACAGAGAGAAGGCCCGGGCCAACGTGTGCCGGTGAAAAGAGCCTCTGACCATCCTAAAAAATATAACTTCACTTAATGACGTGGCTACGGACAGAGGCTTAGGAAGCTGTTCTTCCCCCTTAATGGTAGGCAGAGGCAGAACCTCAGTTGGTATATGAAAAGCAAGACTAACATGCAAACACGGCCTCCTTCAACATCTTCACTGAGAAGAAATATCATAAATATAAATTATCACAGAGGGACCGAGGGCCAGACAGGCTTTCTGCAAACCCCATGCAGGAAGGGGGCTAAGCAAGGACATAGACTGTCAACAGACTCCTGGTGACATGCTAAACCACGGTGGGTGTCCAGGCCTCAGCAACGGCCAGGAAGCAGAGAGCTAACCACTGCCTCTTAGGATTTAAATGTCTGAGGGCCTGAACAGATGTCTGGGGTTACAACAGCCCTTGGTTCATTGATTCATTCAAGAATTGTTTGTTAAGGGGCACCTGGGTGGCTCAGTCAGTTAAACGTCCAACTCTGGAATTAGGCTCAGGTTGTGATCTCAGGATCATGAGATCGAGCCACTGAGTCAGGCTCCGTGCTCAGCACAGAGATTCTCTCTCTCCCTCTGCCCCTCCCCCTGTTCACGTGGGTGCGCTCTCTCAAATAAATAAGTAAATAAATAAAATCTTAAAAAAAAAAAGAATTGTTTGCTAAGGGTCACTATGTACCAGGCACCATGTTCCTCACCCCTCATTGTCTTGTTCCGATACCTCATTTTACAGCAAAGGAACTGAAACCCCTCACTCAAGCACAAGCAGGTAGCAAGTGACAGAGCCCAAACTGTATCAGAGGACTCCTGACGTTCTGCTTCCAACACCTTTCCACCGTATCGCCCCACCTGGCAGCTATCAGTACCTGGTTCTGGTGGATTCTGATGGACTGGCAGGCTTAGAATGAGCGAGTGAGCTCCTCCAACCTCCAACAGTTAAGCAATTTGATGTGACAAACAAGGGGCAAAATAAACCTCCCTCAGATTCTTCCTTCTGATATCTCTGCGATCCCAGGAAAATATCCGATGGGAGGGAGGGTCATTCTCTCCAAGTCACAATGAGTTGCCAAATCAGAAAACCCAAAGAAAATCACAGGGTATTTCCAGAACTAGAGACATCTGGGCTGGAGAGGGGCGGTCCCCGTGGTCCCAGATCACTCACCTGAGGAAGCCAGCCCACCTGAGCCCTTGTCAGGGGGCTGGGCACTGCCCTCTGAGCTCTCGGTGTCAGACCAGCCCCAGTCATCCTCTGGCCGGGGCCCCATCCTGGAAGGGCCTTTTGGGGGCTGGAGAGACGTCCGCTGCACCGAATGTCCCTCCTCCAAGTCCTCTTCAGAACTGAACGGGGGCGTACTGTCACGGAGGGGAAGAAATGAGGCCTCTGTGGACCAGAAACACTTTAAGAGCCAAACTTCCCCACCTGCAAGCGTGTTTGGTTTGCCCCAAGCCGGGCCTCCTCCTTCCCTGGGCCCAGGTGACAGCCAGGAGTCATCCTGGAGCATGGCAGCCACACCGGCAACTCTGTTAGAAGACGGGGACCAAACCCTTCCAGTGCAGCAACTAAGGCTTAAGGAAGAAATGGGGAAGGAAAGAGTAGGTTTGTCCTGGCTGGGAGCAAAGGACCCTGGTCTCTTCGTGAGGGCTTGGGAGGGACCCCACCTGAGGTTGGCTTCTGTCTGTTGACTTCTGCCCCCCGCCCTCACCTGTCCGCAGAAGCCTGCAGGAGGCCCGGATGAGGGCTGCCTGAGGCTGGGAGCCACTGCCTCAGACCCAGGCCCTGGGTGGGAGTGCAGAGTCCGGGGCTCACCTCAGCCCAGGCCCTGGGGCAGCAGGGGTGCCGGAGGGTCCATGTGCTCTGGGACGTGGAGCAGGGGTGGGCATGTGAGCCAGGCCAGGGCCGTGGCTGCCACGGCTCTGAAGAGTCGTCGTGGGTGGCTCTGCTGGCTTGGATGGCAACGCCACATGCAGGGTCCTGGCCTTTGGCTGGGCTTCTTTGATGACCAGTGGGTTCTGCCGGCTTTTGACTAGAAACACAGACAGGAGTAAGTTCCAGGGCACAACCATCTGGGCCCTCGAGCCTGAAGAAGACGTAGAGAGAGGTCCCGGCACACTAGAAATGGACAAGCCACTCTGTCACTCTATACGGTAATAGCCAGAGCCAATATTGTCCTTGCCCCCACCCCCAGGTGTCCTGCTGCTGGCCAGACCCGGGGCTGGGACCCCCCACAGTTCTACCAGAGACCAGGAGAGCCGCTGGGGTTCCAGGGTCATGTCATCGTCCCCGGAGTCCCACAGGAGTCGGGAGGTCTGAAGAGGGGCCCAGCCTGTCTGCAGCTTCACCCTCCCGGTGCAGTTTTAGGGGCTGATCACACCAAGAGCACCTACCCTCTCTACCCACCCAGGCTGCAGCTACGGGAGTGCAGGTAACCTTGCAGGAAGACCCTCCTGCCACCAGAGGTCGCCACAGGACCACATGGGCCATCCTCATCCACCACTGCCCTCCCAAACTCTCCACGGCAGGAGTGCTAAAGGCAAGCCGGCACACCCAGCGCCTCCCTCTTCCGATTGCATCAAGCCCCATTGGGGAGGGGAGGGGGGCGGGTCCAGGATCAACAATATTTTTATGGAAAGAGACGAGAAGTGCTTTGCAGGGGATCAGAGTAAGTACTGTTCCATGAAACTCTCACATGTGTGGACTGTGTAAAGTGTGTTTCTTACTGTAGTTCAAGATAGAAAATGTCTGAAATACACTGCTCTCAGAGAACGCTTTTACACAGAAGAGGATCTTCTAGGAAGGGCAGACTGAAGGGAAGGGGAAGGCAGACAAACTGGCTGAGGGAAAGTAACAACAGTAGCTAGTTACTGCACACAGACAGCAAGCTAAGCCCTCTACATACAGGACCCACCGAACCCCGAGCCCTTAGGACAGTGTCGTTCTCCCTGCTTTACAGAGGCTGCGGGAAATCCAGGGACTCAATCAAGGCCCACCATTCCATGGAAGGAAGTGGTAAGTGCAAACCCAGGTCATCGGCCACCCCAAATCTAGGGCTCTTGCCACTCATGGCCTTGCTTCATCCCACAGCTTTGCCCCAAAACAAAAAGAGGCACAATCGAGACAGAGATCAGAGGTGGGCATTCACACAGCACTCATGGGACCTAGAAAACGAGCATGTGGGCGTAGAACTGGAAAGAGAGGTCTACAAAATGCCGTGAAAACAGTGCTCATCTCACACCTTCGAGACACGCCCTGGAGAAGGCAGGGCCCCAGGACCAGGGAAGGGGAGCTAGGCAAGGGGGTGGTTCTCACTCCCGGCTTTCTGACCACAGGAACAAGAGCTGGACAGGAGGGGGCACCTGGAGGAGCAAGGTACCTTTCCTCTTTTGGAAGCCTGTCCTCAGAAGATGCTTTCATTTCTCTTCCCTGCCTCCCTGTCCCCACTCTCCTCTGAGCCCATGCCGCCCCCCCTTCACCCCGCCCCTGTGCTTGGTCCCATCACACCTCCTAGTCCGGGCTGGCTTCCCAGATGAGGTGGCAAGCCTTGGCACAGATGAGTCTCAGTAGATTTTAAAATCACTGTTTCCTGTACCAACTAAAATCATCTCTCATACCCCCAGAGAATGTGGTCCACACTCTGGTAAATTCCTTAGCATGAAGAGTTCAGGTTGGGTCTGCCTGGACATGAGGAGATAAGAGAATCGATGTCCCTCTGGCCACATATGAGGGAAAGGAGCTGCAACATCGTCCCTCACGAATAGCTTCAGACCCCCAAAGCCCTCCCCAGAGCCCCTAATTTCAGCAGCCCGGTGGATATGGGAATCCTCCAGAAATAGGGGGGCTCTCAAACCTAGGAACACAAATTCCCTTGTTTTCTCAGTTCCTTCAGGACAGAGACTGGAGGGTCCTCACCCACACACTTGAATCCTCCCCAAGAACCACTAGGCCTGTCCTTTTCACAACCCCCAGGGGCAAAGCAGGGGCTGTGGCCTGGCCCAAGGAACCACGGTCCTAGCTCTGAGGATGTGTCGGCAGGCAGAACTCGCCCAGCTTCTCACACCCTCCCACAGCTCCTGAGCAGAGTTTTCATTTGATTCATATTCGCCTCCACCTGCAGCCCCAATGCTCTTAAGCCTTGGGCCTTCTCCCTGCACTGACATGCCCCACTTCAGAGCCAGAAACAGAGTGGGCTACTCTCTGTTGGAGCAAAGTTCAATTTGTGGTCAAAGCAAGTAAAGCAGGGCAGAGCTAAGCTTCTGAGTGGGGCAGCAAACTCAAGGCTGATCACAGACCCTAACTCTAGCTCTCCTCCAACTTCCCTGGGTGACTCTGGGGCCCACCCCTAGATTCTGGTTCCCCCAACAGAGGACTTTTGGACTCAGTCATCTGTGAGGATGCTATCAACTCACCCTTGAAAGTAATGCCCTGCTGGGGGCAGGCAGTACACCCTCCTCATGTGCAAACCAGCCTGGATCCTCCCAGTCACAGCCCCCAAGCAAGCCCTCTCACCAGCTCACCTGGAGCCTTGGTGTCTGGCTGGGATGCCAGGGCCCTGTTTCTCTGTCTCTCCTTCACTCTGCTGGTGGCTTCCTTGACAAGCTTTTCCCTCAGACTCAGAAATTCAGAAAACCTCCGTGCCTTCTGCTCCCGCTGGGTTCTCAGGAGGGACTCAAGGTGTCTGAGGGTTTGAAAGGGGATTCCCTTTGCATCCTAAAAAAAAAAAAAAACAGAAGTTCCTCTTTGGAGACAGAAGCCCCCCTTCTCCTTCCCCTAAGCCTGTCGTACCTGCTACTGGCCTGGGAGTCACTGTGACCAGCACCGGGTGCTCTCTGGGAGAAGATGCTGTGAGCGTCAGAGCAGGGTGGGCAGCAGCTGCACATGCTGCAGAAAGTGTGGTGCTTTAGGGTCTGGGAGCCTCATCAAAACATGCACGGCAAGATGGTGCAAAGGGGCTGCGCACGACTCCATCGACACCCCAGCTCACAGGGCTCAGAGGGGACTGCCTTTCCACCACTGACTGCATCTGAGGACGGAGACCACAGCTTGCTCCTTTTTGTACCTCACGCACTGTCATTATGCTGCACACGTTGCTAACAATGTTTGAAAAATCAACTGCGAAAAAACAAAAGCTGGGTAACCTGCTGAGACCTACTAGAAGTTGCTTGGGCTTTTGGTATCCACCCAGAGCCCGTGAGGATTCATTCAAGGTTAGAAAGAAATGTTTTAATCAAGTCTGATCACAGGGCCATAGTTAGATGGAACAGTAGTTGAAAATGGTCAAAGATTAGAGTTTTGATTTAATATATTTCATGGGTGCCTTTAATGATAAAACGCACGCTCTGGTTGAACACGGGCATGGGGGAACAACGGCATTCAACTATTTGTACCAGAAGTAGCTTTCAGTGCCTGCCTCACCCACAGCCACTCGCTGAGTGGCGTGTCCACGTAGGCCACTGATGACGTACATTCACCCAGGGGACCCTTCCAGAGGGCAGACTGAGCCAATTAAATTCCCTGTCAGAATTGGACACAGAAGGGGCACCTAGGTGGCTCAGTAGGTTAAGCGTCTGCCTTCAGCTCAGGTCATGATCCCAGGGTCCTGGGATCGAGCCCTGCATTGGGCTCCCTGCTCAGCAGGGAGCCTGCTTCTCCCTCTTCCTCTGCCCTTTCCCCCTGCTTGTGTTCCTGCTCTCGCCATCTCTCAAATGAATAAAAATTTAAAAAGAAAAAGAAAGAAATGGACACAGAAGAAAGCAGCCAATGAATGGAGAGCATAGAGAGGTCAGGACACAGGGTGACATCCTAAGAAACCATTAGAAATGGAGAAGAGAGACCACACTGCTGCCGTGGGGTGAGGAGAAGCCATGTGGGCTTATGTTCCCGGATATGAAAGACACCCCAACTGGAACAAGTAAGATGAATGAGCCTACACCATTAAGAGCCATCAAGCACTTGTCAGGTGAAGAACGCCGTGTACCTAAATGGTAGGCAGCAGCCCTTGCCAACAGTGGCCCTGGCGCTTACTCTCTTTATCCCCATGCTTTCCAGTTTCTCTTCCAGGGTGTCCTCCAGGATTGGCCTGAACTGCTTCAGCAGGGTGGGGTTTCGCCTCAGAGCAGCCAGCACCTTCTGCTGTCCATCTCGGGAGTCCTCCAGATCTGCAGCACACGACAATCCACCAAGGTCAGCCTGGGAGCCCAAAACCTCCACTCCCAAAGCCCCACTGCACCTGCCTGGCCCTCACTGGCCCGTGACCCTGGTCTCCGGCTGGCGAGCCCAGGGCCATGGGCCCCACCTGAGGGTCTGTCCCAGATGCTGGGGTGTTTCTGCTGCTGGCTACCACTGCTTCAGACCACCGAACCGCCTGCAGGATCCTCTTCCCCTGCCAGTCCAGGCCTCCAAGATCTGGGCTCAGTGCTGCCCAGGTTAGCTTGGGACTTTGGGGCTTTTGACTTGCTCTTGAGTCCAGGCAGCAGCCTGTTCCCAAGCTCCGTTCGTCGCCCCACCCAGTTTTACTGAGACATAGTTGACATACAGCAGCGTATAAATTTAAGGTATACGGCGTAATGACTTGATTATTATCACAGTGAGTTTAGTTAACGTCCACCCTCTCATATTGATACAAAAGAAAAAATGAAGCCATTTTTCCCCTTGTGATGGCAACTCTTGGGACCTACTGTCTTCACAGCTTTCCTGTGCACCTTCCAGCGGGGTTAGCTCCAGGCGTCATGTCCATGACATCCCCAGCACTCATTTCTCCTCTCACTGGAAGTTTGTACCTTTCGACCACCTTCCTCTGACCCCCTCCCCCTCCCCCTCTCCTCTGGTAACCACAAATTATGATCTTTTTTCTCCGAGTTTGGTTTTTGGCTTGTTTAGATTCTACATATAAGGGAAATGATGCAGTATTTGTCTTTCTCTGTCGGACTTATTTCATTGCACATAATGCCCTCAAGGTCCATCCATGTTGTCACAAATGGCAGGCTTTCCCTCTTTTTATGGCTGAGTAATACTCTACTATATATATCTACCTCAAATTCACTATCCATTCATCCATCAGTGAACAATTAGGCTGTTTCCATATGTTGGCTATTGTAAACAGCAGATTCCAGGCCCTGCCTGCTGCCGGCCCCATGTAATCCTGGCCCCACCTGATGCCCTCACCTGCTGCCATACCACATTCTGCTCTCATCCAGGGGCTCCAATGCTGGTGGGATAGACAGCATAAACTTCCTTCAAGTTTACTGTCTATAGAGATTAGGGATTCACCCTTCAATGTAGTATACATCGGAACCACATGAGTTAAAAATGCACATTCCCTGGCCCCACCCTCCAGAGAGTCTGATTCCATAGGCCTGGGGAAGGGCCCTGGAATATGCATTTTAACTTGCCTAAATGATTATGGTGGAGGTGAGCCACAGATCATACCAAGAAATATAGACCCAGAGGAGAACAAAATAAGCAATCACAATAAATATGGTCATTGCTACAAAGGGGCCTTCCAAGGTGAGTCAAGGAACTCTTCCCAAAAGTGCTTTTCAGGTCTAGTGTGGGGCGGGGGGTGGGAGGGAGGATGGGCACACTGCCCTCAGAGCTGGACCAGCCCTTTGATTCACTCAATAGACATTTTCTGACAAGTAATACGGAGAATGAACGAGCCAGTACTGGGGTGCTGGGGACACAGAAGAAGACCCTCATGGAGCTCACATTCAAGAGTGGTCATGTGAATTATGGCAGCATATTTGAATCTCCTGGGCCCCATCCCAAACTAATTATATCAGAATCTCTGAAGGTGAGCCCCAGGCCTATTTATTTTTAAAACTCTCCACGTCTTCTAACAAACACCCAAGCCTGAGAACCAATTGTTCGAGAGCAATGTGTGAGCCTCAAAGTGTGAGCCTCAGGATCAGCACCACCGGTAACTGACTAGAAATGCAGATTTTCAGATCCCACTCCAACCCTACTGAGTCAAACATTATGCATGTGGAGCCCAGCAATCTGTGTTTTAACAAGCCGCCCCCCCACCAGGTTGATTCTCCTCCATCACATCTACACTGGGGCATGAGCCCCAACCTTGGCTGCACATTGCAATCACCAGGAGCTTTAAATACTACTGATGCCTGGAACCCACCCCCTATATGTTCTGATTTAGGCCATGGGGGGCTGGTGTGGTCCTTGGAGAGTTACAAGCGACCTGGGTGATTCTTAATGTGCAGTCAGCTGCAGACAGCCACTGGTCTGACAATGGGTCTCCAACTTGAGCAAGAATCGGGATGCCCTGGAGAGTGCATGGAAACGTAGGCTGCTGGACCCAGCCCCAGAATTTCTGAGTCTGTTTATGTGGGATAGGGCTGAGAATTCGAAAACTTTCCTTTCTAACAAGTTCCCAAGTGATACTGCTCCTGCTGATCTGGGACTAGAAGAGGCAGGCAAGCACATGAAGAGGCCGAGCACTGTGTGACCAGTGTGGGAGACCTCCACTGGGTGTGACAAGACGGGACAGGTAGGGGTCAGCTGAAGCACCCTCCTCAGCCTCCTCCTCTCTAGGACTCGGCAGCCCCTGTTGGAGATTTCGGTTCATCCCCTCTACAGACCTCAACAGGTCCGGTAACGGGTTGTGTTACTCAGCAGATACCTTCCCCCCAAAAAGGTACATGCAACTCTTATTTTTACTGCTAAGTTCCAAGATTAAATGCCCAGGGTGGGGGTGGGGGAGTAGTAGAGGACTAGTTAAATAAATTTTGGTTCATCCATCCAATAGAATATTGTAAAGCCCTGAAAAAATAATGAAACAATTCTATGTAAAGGGATATAAAATGATTTCCCAAATAAGTTGTTAAGAAAATAAATAACCACGTACAGAGCAGTATGTATAGTATGATCTTATTTGGGGAAAAGGGGGGGAGCAGAAACAAATGTGCTTATATCTGCACCAAATATCTTTGGAGAGATATATGAGAAACCATAGCAGTGCAATCTCTGGGTGGAAACTGGATAGCCCAGCGGGAGGGAGACCTACTTCTCACTGTACACACACCCTTTTGCTTGCTTGCTCACTTGTTGGCTTGCTTTTTTTCCAAGAGCATAGATTACTGTCTCAGAAGTAAAGAAAAAAATGTTACATTAAAAAACAAAATACCATCCCCCATGGTGAACTCTTTGGTGACACAATAGAACCCTTTCCTGGGTGCCATCTGTTGGGTCACTTTGGAATTGTCATATCATAACCTGGCTCCAGAGGGCAGGCCCTGGTCAGTGGGTCAGATGTGAGCGCTCCCTGATCTTTCCTGGGAGCTCCTTCTCCCCAGCTCCCCCAGGAGCTCCCCGCAGTTAGGGAACACTGCTATTTTTTTTTCACTTCTCCTTTGCATCCCCTTGAATTATCTGGTTGAGCTCTCTCTGCATATCAGACTCACCACTGAATGGACTGAATAAAAACAGGTGCCCAGTGCTGTGAAGAGGGAGCCGAGGCAGACCCCCGAGCGGCACTCCGGGCCTAAGGGCTCTGTGCTGCACGTTCACCATGCAGGATAAAACCGCGAGGGCCGCTTCGAGCCCACACAGGGAGTCCTCACCCGCTGCTCTGGACAGTACCAGGGGAGAGGTGGTGGGACAGGCACAAGGGTCAGGCTGTGCATCAGACACTGCTCCAAATCCTGCCTCTGCCCACCTGCTGGTTCTGTGACTCCGGGCAAGTCACTGACCCTCTCTGCGTTTCCCCATCAGTGATCCATCAGATCGCACGTTAGTGCCTGCGTGCAACACCCCCGGAACACACAAGGTGCTTGAGAAATATTCGTTTCATGTCCCTGCTTCCCTTCCTCCCAGCTTCCGGGGGCCAGACAGTGAGGGAGAAACAAGCTAAAGGATGAGGAGGACAAATCTGTGTCACCGGGGAAAGAGAGTCAGGCCTCACCTTCCTCAGAAGAGTCCTCTTCCATGTCCACAGCCTTTGGGCCCTTGCAGGTCCCTGAGGAGAGCCCAAAAGTTAGTGGCCCCAATGCCCCGGACCCCATCCTTGACTTGGAGGAAAGCACCGGACACCACGTGAGTGCCAGCCAGGAAGAGCAAGCCTTCCAGTCATTTCTGTACCAGGAGAGGCAGGATGGAGCCGTGGTCACAAGTGCAGACAGCGGGAGCCAGAAAGACCAGAGTTCACGGTCCAGCTTGCCCATCGCTGGCCGCGCACATCACGGGGGCTGGGGGCCCGGAACCCCCCCCAAAGTCCCAGTCTCCTCATCTAAAAAATGAGGATGGTAGTGCCCAGCCCACATTAAATAGTGGGGACGATGTAATGAGACAATGAACCTAAAGTGCTTGGCAAAGCGCATGGCACACATCCCAGCCCCAGCCCTCGGGACATTCGGGGCCCCAGGGATGGGGCCTATCTGACCTGCTTGCAAAGCTGGGAAAGAAACGTCTGACCTAGAGGCAGGGGATGGGGAGAGACATGGGGGTTTGCAAGAAAAGGCAGAAGGGTGGCTAAAGAGATAGGACAGAGGAAGTGGGCCGGAGTAAGAAAGGGCCAGGTTCATAAGGGGCTGGCCAAGGTCCTCCAGACAGGGGCAGTCCCTATGGGTTACGGTCTCCCTTTAGATGCCAGCACATGCATCCATTAGACACCCACACACACAAACAGCACACAGCAGCACACGGAGATACCCCAGAGGAAGACAGCACATACTCTCAAACAGGCCACATTCACATAGATGTGGGGTCAACGTGCTACACACTGGGAGCAAGACATAAGTTGGTGGCTCGAACCACAGGCATGAGGAATTAGAAGCTGTTCATGAACCCCGCTCCATCAGTCACTGCCCACGGGATCCTCACCCTTCCCCGGGTCTCCACCACCCCACGGAGAGGAGCAGGACAGGCAAGAATCCAGCCTGTCTGCCCCAGAAGCAGATTATCTTCTAGCCCTCCCTCACCCAGCCAGCGAGCCTGACACCCACGACCCATGAGCTGCTCTCACCGCTGCCCCCCTCATTCTACAAATTGACTGGTGGGGAACAGGAGAGAGAAGAGGCCAAGACTGTTAGAAAATACCCCATGGGAACTTACCCTCCTCCTTCCTGAGAGACATGGTCTGGATCTGCAAGAATGTGGAACGGAGCAGGTCACAGGCAGCAGGGAACTCTGCTCTGCGCAGTGGGTCTGCCCAGCACCACAGAGAAGGGGCAGCCAGTGTTTCCGTGCGCACCGCCCCCCCGCCGGGAACTAGAAGGAGCTCGGAGTATGCTGCCCCAACCCTCCAGCGCATCTCCTGCCATCCCTGCGTGAGGGGGAAAGGCACCGAGGCTGAATGGCAGCAGCCGGGATGGCGCCGTGCTCCATTTTGCCACCATGGGGAGGCAAGAATGCCCGCTCTTCAGAGAGGGACTGTGACTTGAAGGGCAGGAGCCCCACACAAGTGCAGTGAGACACGCACACAGCAATACTACTGGTACGCTTGGTGGACAACCAGGGTGAGGCGGGCTCCCTCCCACCATGTGGGCATCTGAGCTGAGGGCCCCCTGGGCAGAAGGAGGCATGAGCCGGGCAGTCACTAAACTGCTCAGCCCCCCTTTTCCAGAAGGTGCCTCTTCATCCTCCTTCCACACAGCTGCACGTGGGACAGCCACCTGTGACAATGTGACCCTGCGCCACAGCCGTAGCTGACTGTCTAGGTTGGGGAGAACTCTGAACTGGAAACATGTGAAGTCAAGAGCCAGGCAGCCAACTGGTTTTGGTTTTTCTATTTATTTGTTTGCTTGTTTGTTTTGGCACATGGGACAGATATGACGTGAAAGCTGATCTTCAGAATAAAAGGAAAAAAATTGAAGCAAATCTAGAGAAAAGAACAGAGACACACAACAAAGGAAAACTCCTGACCACATTCATGTCTCTGGTTCCAGTTAATCCCAGACTCAGCGGCTCTCCTGCCTTGAACTCTCTGAGACGTCCTGTCTACCCTTACAACAAATTCCCTCTTCTGCTTGAGCTTGCATTGTTTTCTATTATCGACTGATGAATGACACATCCAGTGTCAATTTCCAACTACTTCCTCCTTTGCCCGCCTCTATTCTAGAGACTCTAAAACTAATTATGTGCTTTCTAACCTTCCTTGCAACTATGGTTGGCCATGTAATACAGCTTTGACCAATAAAATATAAGCAAAAGTCTTAGGAAGGGGCCTTTTCACCAACTTCTATTGTATATGGGGATGGTATGACAGCCATCTTGCAATTATGAGAGTCAAGCATGAGAACAAAAGTCAACCCACTGAAGATGGCAAAAAAGAAAAACTGAGTTTGGATTTCCAATGGCATGATTTTGCTGCTAAACCAAGGCCATCAACTGTCACCTCTTCTGATGTTACAATACAAATGAACCCCTATTAACCTATTCTAAATCCATGTATAGCCAATGGGTTCCTTAGCGAAATATTTGCAAACAAGAGTTCTGGGTAACAGAAGAAAGAAATCTCCAGACTGGACCTGAGGTGGCCAGAGCAGTGAAAGAGCTAAGTGCGGGGATGCCCCGTAAAAAGAAAAGCAGCAGGGGAGAGGGTCAGATATACTACCTGAGTGAAGTATGGCTGGGAGAACAGAAAAGCACAAATAGCCGGGGGGCAGGAACAAGGAGACTGAACTAGATAGTGACAGGAGGGGCTCTGCTTGGGAAATCTGTGCAGAGGATGGTTTCAGAACCATGACAAGGCCCTGAGGCCACAGAAGGACCCCTCCTCTGATGGCAGAGACATCTCTCCCCTGACATGCAGCTCAGAAGGGGGAGTTGAGCTTGGACTAGGTAGAGAGTTATCAACATTAGGTGAAGGGGTCAGTTCTAGGAGAGAGGTGCTTCGTGAGTAGGTGACTTCTCATCATACTAGTTTGTCTGACAACCTCATCAGAGGCAGTTAATTTAGGAAGAGGGTATTGGCCAGCAAATTATGTCTGAGAACGCATGAAAAGAGCACAAGCTTTGCATTGCACTGCCTGGCCAGGGCTGAATCCTCCCCCCTGCCCCACCCCGGCTCTTACAGGGTGTGCTCTGTGGACTCCTCCGGCCTGTTCCATCATCTGTCACATGAAGATGGGGGGAAGCCAATGTCTGCCTTGAAGGGCAGTAGTGATGTTTAAATGAAGTAATAAGCCAAGTATCAACCAGGTGCCGGCCCTTAGACAGTGTCTGGTGTTAGTGTGAACCTCGTAACACTGCCCCTCAGGACAACAGGGGCATCTTCAGCCTGGAAAGAGACAGGCTGCATCCTCATCATTCTTTTCTCTCTCTTTAGAGAGTCTCACTAATGAGACCACTGCCAGTGAGTCCCAGAGAATCAGAGGAGATCCTCACAGAGAAGAGGTCCAGGGGCCCCGAGGTCTGGCTGGGAAGAGGGACAGACCTACCATCTCCTCCTGGGAGGCGATGAGCCTGGCTTGTTCCTGGAGCTGGGCGCGGAGAGCACTGATCTGGCACTGGGACTGGGCAGCTGCTTTCCTCTGATCCTGAGACAGGGAGGCCTGGAGCCTCTCGTTCTGCTCCTGCAGCTGGTGGGCACAAGAGACTCAGTCAGTCAAATGTCGCAGGGACCTCTGAGTGCCCAGTAGCTGCAGGGCCTGCACCTGTCGGCAAACCGCTGACCGCGGTTTTACCTGAAGCGGGGTAGGGGGTTTCCAGACCTGGGCAGGTGGCTTTCTAACAAGATGGACTACTTTCCAGTTTGGGGACATTTTCAAGCTGTGCTTGAGGGGAAGCAAGAATTGGAGGCAGGCCCCTAAGATCAGGGCAAAAAGGCTCTCTGTCTAGCGTGACCACCCACTGAAGGACAGTCAGATAACCTGAGGCCATTCAAGAGTCATCAAACGGTGTTTTTAGGTAAAAACAAAAGGTGAAGAAGATATGGTCCCATGCTGTTGTAAGAGTAGAGAGAAAATGAGGCTGTTTCTATTTGCATAAAGAAACTCTAGGAAAATACACAGGAAAGCAGTACAAGTTGTCAGCCACGGGGTGGGTGTTGGGAGCAGGTGGATGGAGATGGGGGGAGAAGTGAACCCTAATATATTTTAGTACATTGTACTGAGTATGCCTTAACAGCTTTCTTCTGCTTTTGGAATAAATTAAACTCTATTTCCTATTTTAAGACGTTTCAAATAAAATAAAACCGTCAGATGGGAATTACTGGAAATGGGGGCGTCTATCACGCACCGGCCTCTGATCTGAGCACTTTCATCTTCTGCGCTTTCTGCCAGCAGCACCCGGGGTTCTTGTTAATCAGCTTCCTCCTCAACTTGCTTCCTCCTCAGGGGCATTTTCAGAGAAGCTGTTTTGTCATCCTGAGGCCTGCTGCTCTCTGTCCCCTGGTCTCAGTATCGGAGACCCTCCATATGGGCGCCCCCCGAAGGATGGCTGAGGCTCTCTCCTGGGTGGGGTGTCAAAGGGCCCAAACACGAAATGACCAGGCAATGCATCTGAGGTTTCCAGCACAGGTCTCCGTGGAGGGCCTGAAGGGGTCCCTGCTTAGGGGACCACACAGTAAAGCAGGTGTTGGGCTCAGAAGAAACGGCCCGGAGGCCCCTACTCCTGGCTAGGGAGGCTACTGTCCGCGCAGCTGACCCCTTCTGTGGATTGACCGGGGCCAGCCGCCAGGAACACTATCAGCAACGAAGTACCAGCCAACCAGTTTGAGGGGGGTAGTGGTGGAGGATGGGGATGCTGCAGGGTAAGAGGAGGTCTCAGGAAACCCAGCCCCCCCAGACCACCCGAGCGGAGTTACCTCTCGCTTCTGAGCTGCATGCTCTCCCTGAAGTTCCTTCATCTTTCTCTTCCATTCTGCTTTCTGAAAAAGATAAATGTTGTCAAATGGGCCTCTGGATATTAGAATATGTTATAAAGCTACAAGAATTAAAAAGTACTGGCTCATGATTAGGCAGAGTAGTGAAAAGAATAAAAAGCCCAGACAAAGATGGGGGTGGGAAATGGAATCTTTGTCTGGGGGAAATAGATTATTGACAACTAGAGTTCAAACAGGTGGTTAACTGCCTGGAAAAAAAATATATGAGCTTGAATCTTTATTTCATATCTTAAACCAAAATAAGTTTTAGGTGGGTCAAAGATGTAAACTTAAAAAAAGGAAGTGACATCAGTAAGATGGTGCCACTGGAGATTCCTGCTCTCAAACCACCCACAGATGAGGATTCCTTTATGGGAACCCAGGAATCCAGCTGAGAGTTCCTAGTACCTAAAAGGAGCAAACAAACAAACAAACAAAAAACAACAAAACCCCGAAAATAGATGTATTCCAGAGAAGTTTCACTTTATCTGCATCAGCTCTCTCCAAGGTGGCACAGCTCAGTGCCAAGAGAGACACCCCTCAGCCCACAGTTTTTCCCACGGAGGAAAGTGAGAGCGAGTGAGCACCCGCTGCCCCGACCTCACAGGATGCTGCCCAGGAGGCCCAATTCTGTCCCACCCCTCTCAGAACTGAGGGACAGGGCAGAGCAAATCAGCCTGTGCTGTTGGCACAGGGATCTCAACAACCAGCCACAGCTCCAACTGGCTGGTTTGTGGACACCAGAAGGTGTAAGATGAGAAGTATTTATATGCAACCGATATTAAGTTGTTATCAGCTTAAAATAGACTGCTGTAATATCAGATGATTTATGTAAGTCTCACACTAACCACAAAAAAACCTATAGCAGATATGCAGAAGATGAAGGAATCAAAGCATACCACTACAAAATAAAATCATCAGGGCGCCTGGGTGGCTCAGATGGTTAAGCATCTGCCTTCGGCTCAGGTCATGATCCCAGAGTCCTGGGATCGAGTCCCGCATCGGGCTCCCTGCTCCTTGGGAGCCTGCTTCTCCCTCTGCTTCTCTCTCTCTCTCTCTCTCTCTCCCTCCCTCTGTCTCTCATGAATAAATAAGTAAAATCTTAAAAAAATAAAACAAAATAAAATAAAATCATCAAATCGAAAAGGAAGGCAGCAAGAGAGGAGGAAAGGAACAAAGTAACTACAAAACAGCCTGAAAATAATTAACAAAATGGCAATAAGTAAGTCCTTACTCACCATTAATTACTTTAAATTTAAATGGATTAAGTTCTCTAATGAAAAGACATAGAGTGACTGAACGGATTAGAAAAACAAGATCCAGCTACATGGTGCTTACAGGAGACTCACTTTAAGGCCAAACATATGCTGAAACTGAAGGGATGGAAAAAGATATTTCATGCAAACTGTAACCAGGAGAACAGGGGTAGCTATACTTCTATCAGGCCACAAAGGCTTTAAGTAAAAAACTGTTACAAGAGACAAAGAAGGTCACTATATAGTGATAAAGGGGTCAATTCATCAATGTAACAATTGTAAATATATAAGCATCCAAAATCAGAGCACCTAAATATAGAAAGCAAATATTAATACAACTGAAGGGAGAAATAGCAATACAGTAAGAGCATGGGACTTCAATGGCCCACTTTCAACAATGGATAGATCATCCAGACAGAAAACCAAAAGGGAACACTAGACTTGAACGTCACTATAGACGAAATGGACCAGATAGACGTATACAGAATATTCCATCCAAAAGGAAAACCACCTATGGAATGGGAGAAAATCTTTTGCAAACCACATATCTGATAGGGGGTTCATATCCAAAATATAAGAAACTTCTACAGCTCGATAGAAAAAAAAAAATCAATGGACAAAGGATCCGAATAGACATTTCCCCAAAGAAGGCCTACAACATCATTAATCAGCACAGAAATATAAATCAAACCACAATGAGATATCATCTCACACCTGTCAAGATGGTTATTATTAAAAAAAAAAAACATAACAAGTGTTGGTGAGGATGTGAAGAAAAGGAGATCCTCATACACTGTTGATGGGAATGTAAATTAGTGTAGTTATTATGAAAAACAGAGTGGAAATGCCTCAAAAAATTAAAAACAGACTTACTCATTTCCCCCGGATATCTCCCATGTATACATAAGATATATTTGTTAATAAACTTGTTTTTCTGTTATTAAAAAAAATTAAGGGGCGTCTGGGTGGCTCAGTCAGTTAAGCATCTGACTCTTGGTTTCAGCTCAGGTCATGATCTCAGGGTCCTGGGATGAGCCCCACATTGGGCTCTACACTCAGCATAGAGTCTGCTTGTCCCTCTCCTCCTGCCCCTTCCCTCTCTTACCCATGCCCTCTCTCTCTCTCCAATAAATAAATAAATAAATATGTAAAATCTTTTTTAAAAATCAAAAACAGAACTACAATATAATCCAAAACCCCACTTCATGATATTGATCAAAAAAAAAAAAAACCTGAAATCAGGATCTCAAAGAGATACTCATCCTCCCATGTTCATTGCAGCATTATTCACAATAGCCAAAATAGGGAAACCTAATAATCCATTGAGTGATGAGTAGATAAAGCAAACATGGTACATACATACACTGGAATACTATTCAGCCTTAAAAAAGAAGGAAACCCTGCCTCAACATGAATGAACCTAGAGGACATTACGTTATGTGAAATAAGTCAGACAAGAAAGACAAACACTGTATGATCTCACTTACGTGTGGGATCTAAAATAGTCAAACTCATAGAAACAGAGAGAGAATGGTGGTTGCCAGGGGTTAAGATGGGGAGGTTATGGTCAAAGGGTACAAGGTTTGTTATGCATGATATATTGTACACTTAAAATTTGCTAAGAAGGTAGATCTTATGTTGTGTTACCACCACACACACACAAAGAAAATAATAATAATAATAATAATAATAATAATAATAATAATAAAGAGGGTGGGAGGAAACTTTGGGAGGTGATGGATATGACTGTGGCCTGATGGTTTCAAGGGTAAATACTTATCCCCGAACTCAATGAATCATGTACATCAAATATGTACAACTTTTTACACGCCAATCATACCTCAACAAAGAGGTATGTATGAATGAAGGAATAAATAAATAAGGCCATAAAGGCACTAAAAAGAAACACAAAAACATTTTCTTTTTAAACCTCAGAGTAGCCATAAACAAAAGATTGATAATTTGATCATTTTTACCACATAAACATTATTAATTTCGTATGACCTAAACCACAATCAACAAAATTGAAGGAACAATGTTGTGGGGTAAATAACCACAAGAACAGGGGCGCCTGGGTGGCTCAATCGGTTAAGCGTCTGCCTTCCGCTCAGGTCCCTGGGACTGAGCCCCGCATCTGGCTCCCTGCGCAGCGGGAAGCCTACTTCTCCCTCTGCCCTTCCCCCCTGCTCATGCTCTCTCTCTCTCTCTCTCTCTCTCTGACAAATAAAGAAATAAAATATTTTTAAAAAATAAAATAAATAACCACAAGAACAAGAAAGAGTTGGGTTAAGTTCTATACGTCATAGAAACTCTCAAATTGGTAAGGAAATCCATAGAAAATGAGGCAAAGGATGAGAACAGAGGTCATAGAAAAAAAATTAGTTTTTCTTAATGTGAAACTTGTAAAACATCAAGCAGTAGAAACACTTTGCTGCTGTCAGTTAGACGTTAAGCTCTCTCTTAACAATCGTAGAGAGCAGAAACAGAAGCACAGCCTGATTGAGGGACCAGGCCCTTCCTTGTCATGGAGCGATCAGTGATGCAGACCATATGTAGCTGGACCGTCGTAACATTCGTCCAGTGCTGGCCAGAGCCACCGCCTGCCAGCTCAGGAGAGCAGACTCGGCTCCAGCCTCTTCAACTCCATATCCAGGGGCCTCACAGTGGCAGCATGAAATCGGCCAGGGTGGGAAATGTCATGCTACAGAAAACAGCAACTGCTACAGATTAAAGCTTTGTTAGGCCCAGAGAGTGACTGTTAGATATTTACCATCACCCACGAGACCCACCCCAAATACCTTCAAACAGGAGACTATCACACTTGCTAAGAGTTGTTTTCAACTGGGTTGGAATCAAAATGAGGGTAAACGTACCCAGTAAGGGACATAACTGTATGTGTTTTGGAAAGATCCCAGGCAAACCTGATGTTGCACCCACGTGTATCACCAGCCTCACGTGAGAACCCTAAGAATCCGATCCCATGCTTTCGTGCATTGGCAGAAGGTCTGCAAAGATAAAACCTGATGTCTTCCAACTTCCATAAAACCACAGAGCAAAACAGAGAAACTTTATTGAAAGCAACATGGCTGGCTGTGGGGAAATGAGCAAGAGCTATCAGCTCACCTGAATGTCCAGCTTCTCCCTCAGGGCCCGGAGCTCCTGAGTCTGCCTGAGTCGCTCCTCAGACTCCTCATCCCGCAGTGACCCGAGATTGGACTCCATCACACTGTGGGACTGCAGCGCCTGCAGTTTCTGAAAAGCCAGGACACGGTCTTATTCAGATGAAGATCTAATCTTGATGTCATCTTTTATACCTTGAGCAACGTCAGAAGGGCATACCTTACCCCAAACTCCCGCTTGTCCTCGCCAGACATCTCCGTGCCTGCGCATACTCACACAAGTCTGCACTCCCCTCCATGAGGGTTCCCCTGAGAGCTCAGTGCTTACTCAGGAGAAACAGGTGCCCCGTGGACGAACAGAATTCGAGAGTAGAATGTCAACTGCACTGAAATCCGGCTGTACCCCAAACCCAGAGCTCGCCAGACATTTCTGCCCCCATTTCCTCCTCAGTCTCGAATAGGCTGAAGAGAATCAGACTCTTAGAGGCTTTGGGAGAGTCTCATGCACTCTGGACCATTCCCTGAGGACTCCCGTCCCTCCTCCCACCAAAAAATGCTGGCTGTCACCAAGACGGCATGCCTTTGCCTGGCTTGGAGTGGTGTCGCCAATACCTAGCGATTCCTGAGCTAGCAGTGTGTCATCTGAAGGAAAGGGCACAGAAAAGGGGATCCAAGAGGAGGGGTCTTGCCACCTATGGTTATATTTTTTTAAACATATCACTGCTGCAGCCACAAAAGTAAATTATCTCCATCTCTATCACTACACAAAACCCATAAGCCCCCTATTAAAGCTTTAAAGAACGGCAAGTCCCTGAGTTTAACTTGTTATCTTTCTTGCTCAGCTTTAACTCTTCTCAACTGCTAAAGCAGTATTGGGTATAAATGTTAACCATTTCTAATTGAGTATTTTCATAGAGTCAAATGCTTTTTTAAGTGGATGCGCAACCCTCGGCTTCTGATGTGTCATTTTTGTCTTCACACTGATGCTCAGACAACCAGAGAGCAGGCTCTCTCGGCATTACAAACCTTCATGGCAATTTCCATTCAACTAGGGACTCCTTTGGCAGCTGGATTTACCCTACATCTTACCTAAGGTTATTTCTGCAGCCAGGTAACTTGGCCAAAGTAAGCTCACAGGTTTTTGTATCAAAGGGAAAATTTTGAGGAGCAACATCTTCGAGAAGTATTTCCCTCTCACTGGCCCTCCTAACAGCAAGGGGAATCTTGTCTTATGTAATGAGATGGACGGGCTTACAGTGTTATTCACACTTAATGTAAATGAAATCTTATCTCTTTCTCCCCCAAATTAGGAAAAAAAGCTAACAAAATAATTATCCAAATACACTGAGAAGTGCGTATCCAGTTTGGTTCCTATAATAAAAGTAAAATATAAAATGTCACTTGAGAGGAGATGGAGGAGACATACAGACACAAAAACACAGCATAAACAATCCTATAAAGGAAAGACCAAAAAAATGATGTTCCAGTTTAGGAAAATGGTGACCCAAGTTAAAAAGAAACCATGGATGGTAAGAATTATGTCCTCATTCACCAAAACTTAGAATTTCTGAACCAAAGTAAGCCTCCAACCTTTGCTGAGGAGGTTTCTGAACAACAAATCCAAATTCAAATCAGTATCTATCTATCAAATGTCTAGTCAGCTCGCACCATGTCAGGGGAGGAGTGGGAGTCGGCAGGGGCGTGGGCAAGCTCAGGAATGAGGAGCAAGGAGCCGGTAAGAGCATGAGCTCCATGTGGGGGAGCAGCGTCTTGTCTCCCACATATCGTCCCTGACCACACTGCAGGAACATTTAGGGTGGGAGGGCTTGGGCCCCTACAGATAACCATACATGCACACACCCCACAGCCTTCCCTATCCCTGGCTTCCCATCGCAGATTGAGATGATGGATCACCTAAGACTCCACTCATATCCCATGACAATCTCCCTCTGGAAAAGTTCTCCAGGTGTTTCTTTAGCAAAATGTAGAATGATTGTGAGAAATGCTACCAGCAGTTCATTTTCAAAAACAAGAGAAGATTCTCCTTGATGTTAGAAGGACCAACAAGAGCTAAATATATTCTGAAAATATTTCTCCTCCAAAACATTTTCCCTGGTATGGTTTTAGTCAGAGAGGTTTATACGAGAAGATACAGTCCAGGGATAATAACCTTTAATAAGGTTTTCCTGAGTAACCTTGACAGTATACCCAGTAGAAAAGCAGAGGCTTTGAAGTTTAAAAAGTTAAGTTCAAATCCCAGGTCTACCCCTTAGTAGATGTGTGACCTTGAGCATGTTATGGGCCCTCAATGTCTTCCCCTGTAAAGGAGGAATGATAATAGTTTTCTTTTAAAGAACTTTAAAAAAGAAATAAGTAAACGAATAATGTACCTACTTTGAGAACGTTATGGTTGTTTTGTTGTTGTAAGGATTGAAAGTTATTGTAAATAAAGTGCCCCGCACAGAGGCTGGAAACCAGTAAATACAGTCAGTAAATCTTACTATTCCGTGTGATCTCTACAGACCCCAACAGAGAGCCTGGCAGGTAGGCAGCACTCAGCACATACTTGAGAAGTGCATTCATTTAAATTTTGCCTCATATCTTGTCCAGTGATGAAAGAAAGCCCTTTGCAAAAATAAAGATAATATCTAGGGAGTTCTTACTATATACCAGACAATGTTAAGTGCTGTCTCTGTGCTAATTTAACCCTTCCAGCAACCTATCTTACAGAAAAGAAACTGAGGCACAGGAAGGTTAAGTAACTCGCCTAAGGTCACACAGCCAATATGTGATAGAGCAGAGATTCGATCCCTGGCACTGGCCTCTGGTATCTGGCCTCAGTATATTAGCCCCCAGTGGCAGATGAAATAAAACTAGCACAAACTAAGAAATAAATATCGAGAATAAACAGTTTTTCAGCAAAAGAACTTTGAACGCCTTTTGTGTTGGGTACCTCTTCTAATGTAGAGTTGTGGTTGGCAACACTTTTAAATTCATCCCAAAATAATTTTTTTAGCTTGTCTATTTCCTCATATAGCTTGGCCCGCTCTTTTTCTTTCCATTCATCAAATTCTTTCTTAGCTTCTGTTTCCTTCTGACGGGTGATCTCTGCTTCCTGGAAAGAAAAGCAAGAACAATAGAATCATTAATTCCACATTATGGCAAATATTGACGGAAAAACTGCTGGGGGCCCTTGTCTGGGCAAGTCACTGTGGAGACCCAAAGCATATTCGTCCCACAGTCCCCATTGTTTGGACATGGAGGGGGCCAAGTCTTATCTAAACTGTAAAGTCCCTTGAAGATAGGGACCCTGTCTTTTGTCCCTCTTTGTATTCGTGGCAGAGCGGGCGCTCAGTAAATGGGTGCTGAGGAAATGAATGAAGAATGACTACATGAAGAAAGGGGTGAGGCAAGTTTACATACTTTCATTCTACAATTATCTACTAAGTACGTCCTCGAGACTGGACTTTGGAGTTTATCCAGTCTTTGTTCTCAAAAAAGCAAACCAGCAGGGTAGTGTAAGAAGTTAACATGCTGGTTCAAATGCCCTCACAGTGTGCTGAATAATGCAGGAGAGTGCAATTCTCGGCTCTACTTTTGGCCACACAGATCTGGAAAAATAGTTGAATTTTCCTTCCCAGCCAACCTAAGATCATTTGCCACACCCAGGAAGATGCCACCCTGGCGCTGACTCCCAGCTGCAGGAAACCAGCCAGACTTTCAGTCCTGTGGGAGACAGGTGCCTCCTGGGTCTCCTCAGTAGTCCACGACTGGGTCTCCCCAGAGGTTCCCCTCTGGGCCCACCTGCAACTGCCGCTGCCTCTCCGCCTCCCTCTGGGCTTCCAGCTCCCCTTGAGTCCATTTTAGCTTGGCCCGCAGCTCTTCCAACACCTCCTCCACTGGTTGTTCCTGCTTCTTCTGCTTCCCTGTAGGGTCCATGCAAAGACAGCGTGGCCAGTTTCAGTGAAAACATGAATGAAGTGTGGTTCCTCGCCTATGCAATCAGCCACACCTCATGCTGAGACCAGCTATGCCATTTCCATTGGACACTGACCGCAGGCAAGTGACATAACCTCCCCGACCCTCAGTTTCCTCAAGTTGGAAAATGGAGATAACAGCACCCAACTCAGACTGTTGTCTTGAAGGTGAAATGTGATAGTGCAAAATGCTTAGCATAATGCCTGGCCTGACAGTTCACTAAGCGTGAACTATTACTGTCACTGAAAATAACCATTTTGACAGTCCCGACACGCACAAATGTAAAGAAGAGATCGGTAGAGTAACATAAGCAGAATACCAAACAGCACGTGCACAGTGATTATTAATACAAAGTACCTATCAATGGATCCTGACAGCCATCAGAGAGGAGTTTAACATAGTGAAAATAACTGTAGTTTTAAGTTCACTTTGTTCAGAAATACAGGATAGTAGTAAGTTTCAAATGGAAAAAAAAAAGCAGCATGTATTATAAAGGAAACTTTCAGCCAAGGTTGCTGTAAGTGTATACTTTAACTTTTCTAAGATTAAAAAGAGAATGAATTATAAGAGAACATTCTAACTAAACCACATACTTACAAATCAAGAGTTACGGGTTAATGAAAAAGACACCAATTGTACTTGGACATTTGTTACTTTTTAAAGTACCTTTAGTGCCTATTAGACAGCACCATTATTAAAACCCGAAATGAGATATGGTTTTCCTCAGACTGGACTTTTTAGAAACAAGCAATTTTTAGATGCGGTAGAAATTAATTTGGGTTAACAAAGTGATATGAAAAAGGAGAGCAGGGGTATCCGAAAGGCCAGCTGCCTGAGAATAAAAAGATCATGAACATTAATTTAGCGAAAATTGCCCGAAGAACGTATTTTCCTTCTCCTTCAGCACTTAACCTTAAGAAAATAATAAGGAATATGCACAAAGATTTACATACAAGAATGTACATCAGGTGATTTGTAATAGGGAAATTTATGAGTAACCCATATAAAGTAGGAAGTAATTTAATTGTGAAATAAATTATGATAGCCACAGGATGGGATACTATTCAGCCATTAAAAATCATGTTTTCCAAGATGACTGAATAACACTGGAAATGTGATATATTAAGTGAAGATAAGCAACAGTCAAAACTGCATAGTATAGGACTATATACGTACACAGAAAAATAATGACAGAGAACACACCAAAATATTAACTAGGTGATATTGTCCATGGTTTTTATTTTTGCTTTTCTACCCTTCTGTATTTAAATTTTCCAGGTCAAGGGACACCTGGGTGGCTCAGTCCGTTAAGCGTCTGCCTTCAGCTCAGGTCATGATCCCAGGGTCCTCGATCGAGTCCCGTGTCTGGTTCCTTGCTCAGTGGGGAGCCTGCTTCCCCCCTCTGCCTGCCACTCCCCCAGCTTGTGTTCTCTCTCTCTCTTTGGCATATAAATAAATAAATAATCTTTAAAAAAAATCAACAAACTTTTTTAAAAAATAAATTAATTTAAAAAATAAATTTTCCAGGTCAAAGGCATCTTTTCCAATTTTTTATTGTGGTAAAATACACATAACATAAAATTTAGCATCTTAACCATTTTTAAATGTACAGTTCGATGGTATTAAATACATTCACAATTCATAATGTTGTACAACTATCACCAGCATCCACTTCCATAACTCTTTTCTTCTTATAAAACAAAAACTCTGTATGCTTTAAATAACTCCCCATGGACCCCCTCCCCCGGCCCCCAGCAACCATCACTCTACTTTCTGTTTCTATAAATTTGACTACTCTAGGTGCCTCATATAAGTGGAATCACACAGTATTTGTCCTTTCGAGACTCACTGACTTCACTTACCATAATATCTTCAAGGTTCATTCATGTTGTAACATGTTACAGAATTTCCTTTCTTTTTAAGGCTGAATCATATTCCCTTGCATGTATATACCACATTTTGTTTATGTATTCATCTGTCTACGGACATTTGGGTGCTTCCACATCTTAGCTACTGTGAATAATGCTGCTATGAACATCAGTATACAAATATCTCTTCAAAGACATGTCTTTTTATCAGAAAAATTCATTTAAGAAGTAGAAAATCTGTTTTTCTTTAGCAGCCTCCAATGCAGAACCAAGAAGAATTAGATATATAATAAATGCATAATAATTAGGTAAATGGTGCTGTTTTAAAACTCTAAGTCTGCTCTTTGAAAAGGAAATTTAAATGAAGAAAAATAAAAAAAAAGTTTTATTTAATGGGATTTTTATATTTATATGATTTATATTTTCATATTTATATTTATTTTATGTGTTAACAGCTATTTCTTATGAACCACAAATATGGATATAAAATATGCAAATCTCTTTATGTGGAAACATACAGCCTTGCTACTTGTTTTGGAATTTGAAATGGTAAAATTAAAGTGATTAAGTCATAATTAGCTCATGTACATACAAAAAGTCAAAGAACTGGTCTAACTGCTCCTTAACCCCATTTAAGCCCATTCATAGTTAGCATCAGAGAACAGCAGATTCATAGAAGGCTGGAAGGTAAGGACCCCTCAACGTCACAATCTGACTGCCCCATTCACAGCAAAGGCCACTGAGACTCAGAGGGGGTGCATTGACTGTGGTCACATAATAGGAAGGGACAAAGCTAACACTGAACTTACCTGTCTGACTCCCTTTTTCTCTACACACATGGTCAGAAACCCTCCCAGCTCCACATGGGATGGATCCCCTGTGGTGGATGGTGGGATCATCCCCTCCTCTACTGGATGATGAGGTCTGAGGGCAGCTGTGATGGTCTACGTGCCCCACACCCACTGAAAACCAGCCCAGACTCTTCCACGGTCCCAGGAGGGCCACCTGGACTCACCTCCTTCTGCCGCACCTGCATGCCGGCGCTGGATGTGGCCCCGGAGAAAGGTGGCATTCATGAATGTTTTGTCACACAGGTGGCACTGCACAGAAGGGAAACAGTGGTAAGTGCAGGATTACATCACCTGGCTCAACCTGGGGTTCTCCCAATATCAAAATCCCTACTTACGTGGGCTTTCGGGGCTGCTTCAGAAATGAAGAATTTGATCTGAACACTACCAGCGCCCTCGGGAGCTGTGAGCACTACCTAGGTATTTGAGGATACTAAGGAATTTTTGTTGGTTTTTCAAGGCATGATGATGGTAGTGCTTATATTTAAAAGCGAGAGTCCTTGCCTTTTAGAGATACATACTGAAATAGTTAGAGATAACACCATATGTCTAACACACTTCAAAAGTGATGTAGGCGAGGGGGCAAGCAGGTAGGGGAACATGTCCAAAAACACTGGCCATGAGTTGATAACAATTGGGCTGAGTGGTGTACAAATGAAGGTTCATTACACTACTCTCTCTTTTGTACATGTTTAAAAATTTTCACAATACAAAGTAAAAAAAAAAAAAAAAAGCCAACGTCCAGGGCCCACCCTAGGGTTGAGAACCACCAGAGCAGAGGAGAACAAATAATAGTATCTTTAATTCCGCTTCACTCTCCTCAAGCATTCAGACACTGCCAACCTATCATATCATCTTTTCACTGTAAAACCTCAAAACTTTTCCAACACAACTTTGCAGGCTGTTAATCCTACTCAATCAGACTAAGAGGGCAGATTATTTGCCATCTTTACACAAATGTGACAAAAATTGCCAGTTGTCCCCCCAAGACACATTTTCTCTCTTTCCTCAGTACCAAAACCCTGATTTTTAGCTGGTCATGAGGTTAATGAGAATAAACACTTTATGTGCCAGCCTCACTTGCCAGGTGTGGCCATGTGACTAAATTCTGGCCAATGACATGTAAGCAGAAGTGACTTATGCAACTTCTAGAAGGTGTCATTAAAGAGTCATGATGAAAGTATAGTAGCCACTCCTTCTGCTGACAACAGAACCCCAGTTTTCTTCTGGGGAATCACTCTGCCCCTTACTTTCCATCCATGGGCTTTGGTCCATCCCCAGCTCCACGGTGGGACATGTGACCTAGACCAGTCACAACCCTGAATTCCTGGGGACCTGTGAATGGTTCCCAGATGGGTAGGAGACCCAAACACAGCCAAATACAGGACATGGTGAAAAACTGGCTGGGTTTCTGGGACCAAAGTAGGCCTTCTATGATGCCAGCCTTGAACCCGGGAAAGTCAGATACTGGCACTGTTGGCCCAACTTGCAACCACACAGACAGAATCTTTCTGAGAATGGAACCCACACTTGAGGAAGAGTTGCCAACAGCTACAGGGACAAACTAAATTCTGGTGCCCATCATCTGATTCCAAGGACAAGCCACACCTGAGTCCCATCGGATCTCTGGATTTTTCAGTTAAAGTAGCCAATAAATTCTTTACTGGCCTAAGCCAAGTTAAACTGCTGCTCTGGCATTTACAACTGAAAGGGTTCTGACCCTTTGTATCGTAATTAACATTGTCTCAATTACCATTAGATCCATTTACATTGTATCATATGATTCCTTCTGTCCCACCTACCGCCAAACTATGACTTTCTTGAACACCTGAGCCAGCATGACTTGTGCCTGCCTCCTCAGAGCCTGGCCCAGGACCTGGCCACCACGACAATTCATCAAAGTGCAGTGGTCCCCAGGCCACACTAGCCATGCAGATGTGAATGTCCAAACGCCACTCTGGGTAATGAACTGTCACTTGGTTGAATGATGGAATCACTTTTCGGGAATGGGCCTGGCAGTACCAGTCTCTTGCTACAGACTGATTCTACACACACATACAAACACACACCTCTTACACACGCCTTTTTACATCACACTGCTACATGCACACACAAACCCTTCAAACATACACACTCACGCCCTCCATAAATACACACACCCTTACACACATATATATCCTTCATTCATCACACACACACACCGTAAATATATCTTTAGGTGCACACTTCACACACAAGCACACATTACACACCACACACTCTACATACATACATACACATACCACACACAGATGTATGTTCCAAACATTCACATGGTAGACACACATATCCACACTGTCCTTAAACATGCACATCCTCCACACATTCACACCTGCACTCCCTCGACATGCACCCTCTCCATAAACACACACACACATATGCACACATATCCTTCAGATACACACTTGCCACACACACACACACACACACAGGAGAACTTGCTGAGACAGCTCTAACATCTGCTCCTCACCCCAGTAAGCATGGCCCACAGCAACCCGAGGCCCATCCCGGTGGTGGTGCCGCCCAGGTGGCCCGGTGACTGGGCCCACAGCCCTCCCCCTCCCCACCCTGCAGAGATTCCTCACCGCGTGGTAGCTGTGGGTCCCTGTCTGCAGGAGCAGCTGCTGCAAGGTGCCGATCATCTTGCGACGCCGGCGGCTCTCCTCTCTCACGCCCTTGAGCTCATCAGCCTGGCGACCCAGCTCTTGCTGGCCAAGCTGCTGCTGGCCCAGGCTGGCCTGCAGCCGGGCCTCCAGCTGGGCGATGTTGGCACTCAAGCAATCCTGGCAGTGCAGCAGGTACTCGATGATGAGCTGGGCCAAGCGCAGCACCTTGAGCAGCACCGGGTCCACGGGCTGCCCACAGCGGCTGCACGCCTCCCGGTCCAAATTGCAGAAGGTGACCCCAGTGATGTTCTCCTGCAGAGTGGCCACGTCCAGCTCCCGCGCCACGCGGTCCACGTCCAGGGCGCTAATGCGCCTCCAGTCCACGCTCTCAGAGCGAGGCTGGAACTTGAAGGTAGGGAGCGGGTAGGCCCCAAAGAGGGAGCCACTGAGGCCTTCAGCGGAGGTAGCCGGGGACTGCATGGGCGGAGGAAGCCTTGGACTGACCACGGAGGGAGGGTGCCACCAAGGCCACGGCAGCAGGCACAGGAGCTGAGAGAGGGCCTGGAAAATAAGGAGAGGGTCCAAGTTGAGCAAGACGCATCTGGCTGCACATACAGTACACCTGGCCAGTGGGAGCCTCAGTGGGTGAGGGGAGGGGGCTGTGCAGCAGCTGTAGGACGCACGGGGTGCACTGACGCGGTGAGACCTGCAGAAGGCCAGGTGTGGGCTCTACAGTCGCACGGGTGTGGATTCAGATCGCAGCCTCGGGCAAGTTCCTTCACATCCTTAAGCCTTCTGTGCATACTGGGAGATCACAGAGCCTACTTTTCAGGCTTGTGCTTAGGAATGAGGCAAGTGAAGCACCCAGCCTAGTATCTGGCACATAGGAGGTCCTCCTGCTAGGAATGAAGCAAGTGAATCCCCCCTCCTCTGTGCCCCGCGTGGAAGTCCACGGCGAGAGTCCCTGCCAGAGGTCTTTGTCAGAGGGAAGGGTCAAATGTCTAAGTGGGTCCTTCTGCAACCCTATACTGACCTCAGGATAACGTCCAATAACTCGCCATGGGAGGCAGAGCCTCCTAACAACCACCACACCCCATCCTCTCCTCCTATCGTTACAAGATTATTGTGGACCAGGAGTCGGTTACTTTCCCCAGGTGCCCCAGCTGTAAAGTGTGATCACAGGACTATGCTTCCTCTGGTGGGATGTGAGTAAGATGATGGCCCCACTGCCAGGGGCTGCTTAATAGAGCGGCCATGTCTCTGCACACAGGCTCTGTTCAGTCCATGATGGTCTTTTTTTCAAACCTATTGGTTTAGAAAAGAGGTCCAATTTGTTCTCAAAAGACTCAGATTCTCGGGCACCTGGGTGGCTCAGTCGTTAAGCATCTGCCTTCGGCTCAGGTCATGATCCCGGGGTCCTGGGATCGAGCCCCGCATCGGGCTCCCTGCTCCGTGGGAAGCCTGCTTCTCCCTCACCCACTCCCCCTGCTTGTGTTCCCTCTCTTGCTGTGTCTCTCTGTCAAATAAATAAATAAAATTTAAAAAAAAAAAAAAAAAAGACTCAGATTCTCCTCTCCACTCTCTTGGCAGGCACAGAAATCGTTCTCTCTCTTTAAAGAGTAATTTGAATGTTAAGAAAAAAGAAAAAGAAGAAGATAGCAGGAGGGGAAGAATGAAGGGGAGTAAGTCGGAGGGGGAGACGAACCATGAGAGACGATGGACTCTGAAAAACAAACTGAGGGTTCTAGAGGGGAGGGGGGTGGGGGGATGGGTTAGCCCCGTGATGGGTATTAAGAAGGGCACATACTGCATGGAGCACTGGGTGCTATGCACAAACAATGAATCATGGAACACTACATCAAGAACTAATGATGTAATGTATGGTGATTAACATAACAATAAAAAATTTAAAAAAAATAAAGAGTAATTTGACAATAGCAATAGGATTTTAAAATGAACACGCCACTACTAAGAATTATAATTTATCCTACAGATAAACTTATACAGGTGTGCAAAGGTGCTGTGCAAAAACTGTCACGTAGTGCTGTTTGTAACAGCAAAGTATAAGAAAAAATACAAGAAAGTGAAGTACAAAGTACAACGGGGATACAAATGGTATCTCTATACAATGAAATACTATGCAGCTATTGATAAGAAGAAGGCAACCATTCATGCACTGATACAGAGTAATGCGTGTGTGTCTGTGTATACATATACATAGATACAAATATATACACACATAGCTACACATATATACATATATACACAGGTATTTCCGCATCTGTTTAAATTATAATATAATCACATATAATCATAATTGGCAAAAATAAAGATATGTACATCTCACATGTATCCATCTATATCTATCTACATATATCACATAGACATAGGTCTATAGACATATCTCACATTGGAATGGTTGCTTATGAGGAAGGAGGGGAAATAGGGTGTGAAACAGGGATAAATTAATGAATGGATGGTGCATGGGTAGGAGATGGATAGATAGACAAGCCTTACACAGACCGATGATGCTAATGACACATGCATATAATATATATACATATATATACACACATACATGAATGATTCATGTTTGTTGCTCATGTGTAATAATAGTGAAATAAAATACACTAATTTACGGTTCCTATATATGATTCATTGCCTATCATTTTGCAAGCATAGACTATGGTATTTCTAGAAAAATAATCAAGCTGTTAGTGATGGTTGCCTCTGGGAGTGGGAATGGAAGTCGGAAGACTTTGATTTTCCACTTTCCCCCTTCCTATACTATCCAAAGTCCTTCACATCGTCATCTATTACTTTTATAATTTTTATAGAAAAAATACAATTTCTGCCCTTGGGGAACTTCGAATCTGAACGGGGCAACAAGAAGGACAGGTGACCCTACTTAATCAAATTCTTTCCAGATCATGTGATTCAAACTTTTAAGTACAAGAGAAAGTCAGAGGGGAGAGAGGTCACTGACCTCATGAAGGGGAAAGGCCTCGTAGGTCTGCAAAGAGGGGCAGGGCCTCCAGGGAAGGTCCCTGACCTCCCTGAGCCTTCATCTGAGAAAGACCGCGATCGGCCTGCCCTACCTGCCCGCAGGGTGCCTGAGGGTTGGAGGAGGTGCAAGGCCAAGCACTCAGTAGTAACATCGGCCGCAGTGCCGCAAGTGCCAGCCTCCATGCCAGACACAGACTGACTCCACGTGCAAACCTGCAAGCAGTTATCACTATGCCCGTTTTACAAACAAGGAAACGGATATCTGGAGGAGTTAAGAGTCTTGTCCCCGATTGGGAGGCCAGAATTGAAGCACAGTTGGAGGTGCACCTGGCTCCAAAGCTCGTGGACTCTGAATATTGATTCTTGAAGCTATTTGTCCTAAAACTTGGCTTTGATCAGGTCATGACCCCTTATCCCTCAAACTCACTCATTCATTCACCCAGTGCCCCCCCATTTACAGCATGCCTACTCGGGCCAGCCCCTGTGCCAGGCATTGGGGCTACCGTGGTATATGAACCCCACACCCGCCCTGCACCCAGGAGCTCAGCGTGGCCCCTTGTTGCCACAGCACCATGTCCAAACCGCTTGGCCTGGCCTTGAAGGCCGGGCGCAGGCTGCCACTGACCCACCTTTTCCATTGCAGCTCCCACGCTTCCCTTTCTCAGATACTCTTCCCCCAAACAGACACCAAAACCAAAACGAGCTAGCCACCTGCACTCCCATCATGGCCGTGACAAGACCAGCCCATTGCTACTTCGCGTGTTATGTTATTTAAACAAACCAAAAAAAGGAGATGGGAGACATGATACTTACCATGCTCAGCTCCAAGCTGCAACTGTGTCTCTGGGGCCTCAGAGACAATTGCCACAACAAGCTATACCTTGGAGCAACAGCAGGTTACCAGGCATGCTGTGGGCAAGGGTAACAGGACACCTGCTTCCTCTCCTCCCCGCTGACCGGGAGCTCACCTAGAACTCACTGTTTAACTATTTAAGCTTTGGCCTCAGCTATGTGCCCATAGTCCTGTCTCTAATAGTAAGGCTAAGAATGCTCCATCGGCTACTCTCTCAGCTTCTCCCACTTTTTTGAAAGTTCCTTCCAGCCTCTTCCTTGAACAGTTACTATCCTTTTACCCTTCCTTTAATATGGGGGAGGAAGGAGGGGAAAGAGGGGGTGTGGGCAGTGCCCCCGTGATATTCTGCTGTTCATTCATGACCCATCTCTCCCTGCACACTCTCCCTGATGACGAGCTCACACACATACCCACAGCTTCAGCGACCAAAGGCCTGCTTTAGGCTGAGCCTCAGCCACTCCCAAATCTCTTTCTTGCTGGCCCATCTCTCTCTTGGGACCTTTAGATCCAGCCTTCCAATACTGAGTATACCAGAAATTGCAAATCCAGATTCTCCCAGGGCCAGGAAGGTAGTATTAAATGCAGGAAATGTGCCAGGTATAAGAAAAACCACAGTACAAGCTTGATGATAAAGGGCAATTGATCCCCTACCTTAGTGTCCAAGATACAATTAGGCAGCAGTTCTCAAAGTGTGGTCCCTGACCAGCAGCATCAGAGCATCAGCATCAGCAGGGAATTTGTTAAAAATGCAAGTCTCCAGATTTACTGATTCAGAACCACTGCAGTAGGGAATGTTGGGGATTATGGCAAAGGGGGAGTGCATGCCCCATTTAGAAGGGGCAGCCACCTTGAGGCACCTGGGGGGCACAATTAGTTGAGTGACTGACTCTTGGTTTTGGCTCAGGCCATGATCTCATGGGTCCTGGAATGGAGCCCTGGGTCAGCTCCGCGCTCAGAGGGAGCCTGCTTGAGATTCTCTCCCTCTGCCCCTCCCCCCACCTTGTGCGCAGGCCCTTGCTCTCCTCCTCTCTCTCTAAAATAAATAAATAAATCTTAAAAAACAAAAACAAAACAAAGGAAGGGGCAGCCACCTCTGGGCATCAGCCATATGGGAATGGATTTTCTGTGTTCCTCACTGGCTAATTCCAAATTCACTAAAAAGATATTCAAACACCTTTATGAACTGTTTTTCAAACTACCTTTCTAGCTGCATCTCCCACTTACAATATTACTTGCTGTCCACAGGTTCATATCTCTGGGCTATTTACTTATGTGCACTATTTTTAAGTGTTTCATAAAGAATAACTCATGTAATCCTCAGAACAATCCCTCAAGGAGGTACTAATATTATCCAAACCACAAAGAAGTAAAGAAGCTTGCCCCAGATGCAGGAGGCAAAATCCAAAACCACGCAGCCTGCTTACGGAGTCTGAGCTCTTAGCCACTATGCCACGCTGCCTACCGGTATAGATGGACCTCCACCACCTCCCCCTGCTCCTACTGCAGGTGAAAGAGTGCCCGCTTCAAGGCCTTGCTCACACCTGACAGCCACCATAAATCGCTCCTAGGCCCACAGTCAAAATGCCCTGCCTCTGCCCTGGGCTCAGGGGAGCACAGAGTGTACACTCCTTTGAGCGCCTCGCCACACTCCGGTCTGTATCGGGGTAACTATGCAACATTCATTTATT